GGCCACACCTTCTTGGTCTTCATACCTTTATCACTTTATGCCTTATAAAAGAGCTTATAATTATGGTATATATACAGCATTTTGAGAAGAGTCGGTGAGTTTCATTGACTTGTCCGGTTGAATATGATTGTAAGAATGACGTCCGTCAAATGACGAGCGAAAGGTTAGTATGCTTTCATCTTTTCGCAGCATCGTCAACAAGAATGTTCCAGGATTCCGCTAATGGTTGTCTTCTTGAGGGATCCATCTTCGAATCTCTTCAGCACACACTTTCACTCTAAATGGAAGTAGGCTCAACAATGGGCTCCTCGAAACCCAACTTTTCTTACAATATAGCGGTATCTCTATCAAAAGCGCAGCCGAGTGTTTATGATGTACAACAAATTAACACCAAAAGAGCATGTCATTTAGATGAGTAGTGCATCCACGATAAAGTAGAATCTGTATCACTTACAGTTGCCCGAGGCATTGTTGCAACTCTGACCCGGCAGAGCCATTGGTCTCGTTGGCAACCGCGTCGGCTGCCGCCGCGGCCAGAAAGCCACGCGCTATGCGTACCGCGTGCAGCAGAGCCAGTTGACAACCGACCGGTTCGTTGCCGGCCGCGTGGCAAGCGGCGTCCAGACACTGCTTGGCCGCCTCCAGCATCCGGTTGGGCTGGCGCAGAGCCAGCAGGTAGTCAACAGCTCTTCCCGACCCAGCCTCCAGGGCCCGCTGAGCCGAGAGTAGCCAGGCGGCAGGACAATCAGCACCGATACGGCCCAGAGACTCGAGAGGACCGGGCACGCGTTGCAGGAATTCGTGTCGTGTCGGCGTGAGGACACGAACTCCGTCGATCTAGGCAGTTAAGGATGTCGACATGTACGCATTCCGTCAGACACGAACCAATATTTATGTAGAGAGTAAAAGCATCCTCCTATTGTGCAATACCCATTTCAGCTCTGTGTTACCATGACAATTGATATGTCAAGACAGTTTATATGAAGATGTGGCAGACAGAATATAGTGAACATAGTGCCATATCGTGTGATGCCTATATGAAAGTAACTGTCGTTTCTTCAAGCTAGCCTGTTCAGCTCAAATCTGAAGGATGTTGTGTAGACCGGCGGACAAGTGTTTGAGGAAATCCTCGCTAAAATCGAGGGAACCTCAGGAGATTTGGTATAGAAATGCACGCATAAAGACTAGTTTGCTTCCCAAATAATTCTCACCAGGCGTAATATTATCTGGGGGAATGAACTATTTTTGTACTGTGAATTACAGAAGAAGAATAAGGGCATATATAGGCACGAAATTCACAGATGTTTCTCTGGTCTCGCCATTCTAATTATAACTCCTCAATAGGACAAGTGAAGTCGATCCTTTGGCCAATTGTCTGCCAAACATTTGTGGTATCTTCCCTGTCCTGGTGTATTCCTCTATTCCCTCTATCCTCGTAACCTACTTTCACTGTCACAATGTCTTAGTTGTTTATCTAAAACTAGTTTAGCTATTGTTGGGATTACTTCCATTTCGAGTAGAAGTGTTTGGTGAAGAGATTCGAAGGTCGGTTCTACGAGAA